AAAAAAGAAAAAAAAAAAGCATTATTTTTTCTTCAAACAATATAAAATTCTGAATTGAAATTATAATTACTAGAGGAGACAACTGATAAAGTGAAAAATGGTACTACTGACAGCTCTTGGGGGAAAGGGGAGAGGAATTGAGAATTTAAATGAAACCACAATTTCCATAAGGTACTACTCTGACTCTCAAGACACTGTAAACTATCCCAATCCAGAACTGTGACGCTTATCACAGAAGCTCAAACAGGTATTAACCATAACAGAGAGTGTCCACTCACAAATTCCAGGCAAAACCACAGACACCCTGACTTAACAGTAACTCTGCATGGATACAAGTGTTATACAAAGAAGGCCTCTGACTGTTCTAGCAACTCTGTAGCTTACCAGTTTCAACCCAATTCCTATCAAAACTGTCCTGTGACTAACTCCAGGCCCCAAATCCCAGCCTTGCTTCATTGTCCTCTAGAGATACTCCACAGGTCCCCAGGCATGTGATCTCTTTGCTGCAGGATGTGCTCCTGGGGGTCTTTGGCTGATGAATGTCAACACCCCTCATTTCCTGCATTAAAAACACTGAGGTGCTTTCCAGACTGGTAGGAGTGGGTTTCTTTGGAGAGAAAGAAGCCAGGGTGGGAAGCTCAGGCTCGCAGTGGTATACATTGCTCTTTTGTATTATCCTTATTGTGTATGTATGTGTTTTAACATGTGTACAGTACAGTGGTTCACGCCAGTAATCCCAGCACTCTGGAAGGCTGAGGCAGGAAGACGGCTTGAGGCCAGGAGTTTGACACAAGCCTGGGCAACAGGTCTTTTTAGAGACCCTGTCTCTAAAAAGCATATTTTAAAAAAAAATTAGCCAGGCATGGTGGTGCAACCTGTAATCATAGCTGCTTGAGAGGCTGAGATGGATGATCACTTGAGCCCAAGTGTTTGAGGCTGTGGTAAACTAGGATTGTACCACTACACTGCAGCCTGGGCAACAAACACAGAGAGACCCTGTCTCTACAAACCCCCCACTCCCATAAAAGAATGCTGAGGTCCAGAGAGTCTCTACATATTGACAGACCCCGTGGGAACCCAGGTTTTCTTACTAAGCTCCGTTTCTCCTATACCACATGATCATTCAGCCAGAAGTTAGGACAGAGCATCCCCCAGTTACAGTCCCAAGAAGCCAGAAAAGAGAGTCATCTATTGTGATCTTATGCAGCTACCATGGCTACCACCCTTGCTCTTCTTCCAATTTCCAGATTAAGAGACAGTTATGTAACACTGACATTTATCAGTACCTTGGCTCTCCATTAGAATCACCTGGCTTCTTAAGAAATACAGACTCCTGGACCTATCCCAGACATGCTAAGTCAGATTCTTACGGGGGCAGGGCCAGAAATTAGTAATTTTTTAAAAATAGAAATTTAAATAGATAATGCATACACATGTTAAAACACATACATACACAATAAGGACACATACATATACGATAAGGATAATACAAAAGAGCAATGTGCCCATCCTGGCTTCTCTCTCTCCAAAAGTACCTACTCCTACCAGTCTGGAAAGTACTGGGCGGACAAGTGCACAAATGCATGGCACACACTATAAATCCTTCTAAAGTCACTGCTGCACACCTGCCTCACTTAACCATACAGCCTCAAGGCTTCATTCTTTCCTATAGCTACAGAGTTTTCAACATAAAAACAGGTGTGCCAGGATTTATTTAGTCTTTTACTGATCTAGCTCATCCCCTAAATACATATGCAGGTAAAAGCAAAAAGTTAAGTAGAGATAATAATTTCTATCTACTTTTCAGAGTTTTTAAGCCCAAATGAGATAATTTATGTGAATAAGTATTGTAAAGTAGAGAGCCTCGTATAAATACTACGGTATGCCATTTCTTGCAACATATTATGGCTAATATATTTTAAATAAAATTCATTTGATTCCATAACCATGACAGACAGTGTATTTTGTTTTACTAGTTATAAAATTTGACAACTTTCTTATAATTTCAGCACTTTGGGAGGCCATGGCAAGGCAGGTAGATCACTTGAGTTTCGGAATTCGAGACCAGCCTGAGCAACATAGCCTGTCTCTACAAAAATTAGCCAGGCTTTGTGGCGCATACCTGTAGTCTCAGTCACTTGTAGGGCTGAGGCAATAGGATCACTTGAGCCTGGGAGGTTGAGGCTGCAGCGAGCCGTGTTTGTGCCACTGCACTCCAGCCTGTTCAACAAAGTGAGACTCTATCTCAAAAAAAAAAGACAACTTAAAAATATGAGCTCACATGAAAGAGCAGTAAAACACTCTTTAGATAATACTAATGACAATAGTCTGTTACTATTTTAGTCTCCATGCAACTGATCATACTTATCAGCTAACACAAAAAAAATAGTTTTTTCTTTTAATTATAGGAATTACATCTAGAAAATAACCAAATTGAAGAAATAACTGAAATTTGTTTCAATCATACCAGAAAGATCAATGTCATTGTACTACGTTATAACAAAATTGAAGAAAATAGGATTGCTCCTTTAGCCTGGATAAATCAAGAGTAAGTATATGCTACAATTTAAATTTTATTGAACTATTTCTTCCTCTTGCCATTATTAAACAGACTATGAAAACTGAGAATGGGACAAGTGAGGGAGGTGATGACTGAAGGGCTTGGAGACAGAATTGTTTCTTAGTGGACCCTTACCTTATACCCAAACTGGGTTACTTCATGTAGTTTCCAACCTGCGCATTGTATGACTGGTGTTAGGATTACTACAGTTACTACTGCTGTTGTCACCATACTGCATACTGGACACCCTACCATATGCCAAGTGCTGAGCTAGCAAGAACTGCTTCCCAGCTGTCTGACCCTGAGGTCTGCCCACTAGTGGTCAAATGCCACTGTAGTTCTGCCTACTTCACAGGTTGTCAGGAGGTTTAAATGAGATAATCCCTTGCACACAGTGAGAAATAAATCTGCCATATTCCTTCTCTTCATCATCATTAGATGAAAGCACCAGGCTCTAGAGCCCAGGCCTGTTCTCCTACACTACACAGCCTTCTTTTCTCCAAACTATTTCTTCACCTCAAGTCTTACAAAAGAGACAGAAGGATGCTTGACCTGACAGTGGAGGCCAAAAGTAGACTCCATCTTCCTGGACAAGAATCAGCAGCCTCTGGCTGTGGTTCTCAGTGAAGGTGTAGGGAGTTAGAAGCAAGCCCTGCAGACAACTGGGATCTAGGATTGCGTGTCCTGGGAACTATGTGCCTAAGTAGCACAGCCTGGAACATGTGTCATTCAGAGGCAGGATGGAGAGACCAACTGGGCTCAGCAGCATGTGGCACTGAGTCCAATGTGGGCAGAGGAGTCTTCATCAAGTGAAAAGAGGGTATGGAGCAGAAACCTTAGGAGACTCGGGTGGGGTTCCTGAAACAAGCCAGTGAGTTTATCTCGCTTCCCAGATCTTATAGATGATTAATAGCATTTTCTAGATCCCTCAGGCTCACCTCAAGTCTCAGGTGTGCCAGGTCATCAAATCAAATGTGGAATGAAAATGTAGGGGAAGGGGAACCAAAACAAGCCAAACAAACCAAACTTCCTTGCTGGAACCAGAGACTTTACAGATAGGCATTTGATGTACGCTGGGACTCATGGGATTTCATTTTAGATTCAACAGATCAACCTTAATGGTATTTTAGTCTTTGGGCCTCAGTATTACCCCTAGGGATATGAGTTTTTCCCTCCTGGACTTTGATGCACCCCTTGAATGGTCTCACATAGCTGGGAGGCAGTATGGCACACTAGTAAGGACATGCACCTTGATGCAAGAAACCAGGGCTGGCGACACCTGGAAAAGTTCCTATTTGGAATCATCACTACAAAATAGTGCTTATAGGAAAATGGACCAGCATGAAGACAAGACTGGCCTTGTCAAAATTTAGAGCAGATAATCATCATCCTGATGTCCCTACCCTGTTTACTTTTTCTTTGCTGCAGAAATCTAGAATCCATTGATCTCTCCTACAACAAGCTCTATCACGTCCCCTCCTATCTACCCAAGTCCTTGTTGCACCTTGTGCTCCTTGGGAACCAGATTGAACGGATCCCTGGCTATGTGTTTGGCCACATGGAACCAGGTCTGGAATACTTGTACCTGTCATTTAACAAACTTGCTGATGATGGCATGGACCGTGTGTCCTTCTATGGGGCATATCATTCCCTGAGGGAATTATTTCTGGATCACAATAACTTAAAATCGATACCACCTGGGATACAAGAAATGAAAGCACTACATTTTCTGAGGCTGAACAACAACAAGATACGGTAAATTCTGGCTTTTTCAAGCATCTGATTAAATTTTGATCGACAAAATATAAAACAATCATGGCATGATCTCTGGGATTTATGTTTTAAAAAAAAGGTGCTAAGGGGTTGGATTATACAAGATTGGCAAATTTTAGTAATCACTGAAGGTGGATGACAGGTATGTGAAGATTCATTATAAACTTTTCCTACTTTTGCACATTTGTAAATTTCCATAGTTAAAACATTTTTTTGGCCAGGTGTGGTGGCTCACTCCTGTAATTCCAGCACTTTGGGAGGCCAAGGCAGGCAGATCACCTGAGGTCAGGAGTTCAAGACCAGCTTGGTCAACATGGTGAAACCCTGTCTCTACTAAATATACAAAACTTATCTGGGCGTGGTGGTGGGCACCTGTTATCTCAGCTAACTTATCTGGGCGTGGTGGTGGGCACCTGTAATCTCAGCTACTTGGGAGGCTGAGGCAGGAGAATTGCTTGAACCCAGGAGGGGGAGGTTGCAGTGAGCTGAGATTGCACCATTGCCCTCCAGCCTGGGTGACAGAGCAAAACTCCATCTCAAGAAAAAAAAAATTAAAATTGCTTCTATGTAGATTTTTCCAAAAGCAAATTTCTGAATAAATTTATTGAGACATTTTCCCTACTTTTAGAAACACATTTTCCTGCATGTGTTGAGCTTACACACTGAAATGTCACTCCTGCCTGGATGGCATGAGTGTCTTGAGAATTAATCCAGAACACTTTGTTAGTAGGGTCTTTATCACTGGCAGTGAGGGAGGCAATAACCTTGTTGTTCTGTCCCTGAGAATTATGCCTCTTAGTCTTTACTCTTCTCTAAATGTCCAAATAAACTAAATGCCTACAAAACCAAACAAAAACAGAAAAGTTTGAGTTTTCAAAGATACTGGAGGAAGAGATGGTGTTTGGGAAGGCTTTGTAAAATTAAGTTTCAGAACTTTTCGGCAAAAATACTTCACAGGTTGTGTCATATGCTTCATAGTGCATTGCATCAGAAGGTGTCTAATGTTTGTCCCACTTTTGTCATTCTAAAATTGATCAGTGGGTTGAGGTAGTCACAGCCTGGTATCTCCTAAAACAAACTTACTCCTCCATCATTGAACCAATGGTTTCACTCACAGATGAACATTGTTTGAATTATTATTTCATTAGGGGTAACAAAATAATGAATTTCTATTTTTGTCATGCTTCTCATGTTTATTAGCTGGAATTCCTCTGTAAGAACATTTTTGCTCATCAACTAGGGCTGCTTTGTTACTCTGAAAGGCAAGAAAAAAGCTCAGTTTTTTCCTTTATACCACCAATGGGAGTAAGAAGTTGGAGCCTAAATGTTTTTGTTTTATTTTGTTTTAGGGTTGTTTTTGTGGTGAATCAATATACACTTAGGCTTTCATATAAGCCGTATATTTCTTTTTTTTTCTTTTTTTTTTGAGACGGAGTTTTGCTCTTGTTACCCAGGCTGGAGTGCAATGGCATGATCTCGGCTCACTGCAACCTCCGCCTCCTGGGTTCAGGCAATTTTCCTGCCTCAGCCTCCTAGCCGTATGTTTCAATCAGTTGCAGTCATTATTTTTAAACTATCCTGTCTCTGGACAATGGTTGCCCTTCAAACTGGCTCTTGTGTCTGCTCACTTGTTTTTGGGTACATGTGGGCCGCAGGCTCACTTTCTGCATTCCTTACTGCAGACCTTCCTCCAAAGAGCCTGGCCCCTTTCTTTGGGGAATAGCATTGAGAAGCCTCAAGTGGGAACCAGATGTGCTCCTTTCAATTGTGTTGCTATTGTTTTAAGGGCTTTCAGTGGACTGCCAGGAAATTTCGTATTTTGAAAAGAAAATAAGTAAGCTCAGACTGACATTCCCAAATCAAAGTTAACATCATCAAAAATTAATTTCTTTTATTAAAACTTGTTTCTCTTACACTGAAAATCTGGGTTCCCAACAATATTAACTTGGATAATCTTACAATATGTGAACAATTGTTTTGAAAGGACATCATTATTACTGCTAAAAATAAAAGCTTTTTTTTGAGATGAAGTCTTGCCCTCTTGCCCAGGCTAGAGTGCAGTGGCGCAATCTTGGCTCACTGCAACCTCTGCCTCCCAGGTTCAAGCGATTCTCCTACCTCAGCTTCCTGAGTAGCTGGGATTACAGGCGCCTGCCACTGTGCCCAGCTAATTTTTGTATTTTTAGTAGAGACAGGATTTCACCATCTTAGCCAGGCTGGTCTCGAACTCCTGACCTTGTGATCCACCTGCCTCGGCCTCCCAAAGTGCTGGGATTACAGGCGTGAGCCACCACGCCCCACTGGTGCCAGGCTTTTTTTTTTTTTTTTTTTTTTTTTTAAAACAACCAGTTCTTCTAAGAATAGAACAAGAACTCACTCAGTCCTCTGATCCTAAAGAGGATATTCATGAGTGGTCTGCCCCCATGACATGACCCAAACACCTCCCATTAAGCACGACCTCCAACACTGGGGATCAGATTTCAACATGAGCTTTGGAGGGGTCAAACCAAACTGCATGTATGGGGTATGTATATTTTTTCTACTCTTTGCTTTTTAAAAGTATCAGTATATCACTCCACATCAGTATGTAGAGAATTTCTTCATTCCTTTTTATAAATGAATATTATGTGGATATACTATATTTTATTGAATCAGTTCCTTACTGACATTTGATTGCTTCCACTCTTACTACTAAAAATAATGCCACAAAAGATAAGTTTGTGTAAATGTCATTTTGTGTTTTTTTCCAGTTTAACTTTGGGATAAAATCCGAGGAGTGGGAATGCTGAGTGAGTGCAAAGAGTAAAGTGCATATGTAATTTTGCTGGATATAGCCAAATTCCTCTCCAGAGGGGGTGCACCATTTTGCATTCCCTTCAGTGTTATTTGATTGGTCCAGGCTCACCATTAGAATATGTTAATGAGCTTCTGGATTTTTGTTTTGTTTTGTTTTGTTTTGCAAATCTTACAAGTAAAAAGTAGTATGCCAGTAAGGTTTCGATTTGCATTTTTCTTATGAATGTAATCCAGCATTTTCCATTTTGCTCCTAGATTCTTAGGAAGTCTTTGTATATTTGCCTTTCATCTGTAACATAAGTTACTTTCTCCTTTTTCGTGTCGTTTAACTTTGCACTTTCTTTTAAAAACTTGCAGCAAATTTTGGCCGGGTGCAGTGGCTCAAGCCTGTAATCCCAGCACTTTGGGAGGCCAGGGCGGGTGGATCACAAGGTCAAGATATCGAGACCATCCTGGCCAACATGGTGAAGCCCCGTCTCTACTAAAAATACAAAAATTAGCTGGGTGTGGTGGTCAGGCGCCTGTAGGCCCAGCTACTCGGGTGGCTGAGGCAAGAGAATTGCTTGAACCCAGGAGGCGGAGGTTGCAGTGAGCTGAGATTGTGCCACTGCACTCCAGCCTGGAGCCTGGCGACAGAGTGATACTCTGTCTCAAAAAAAAAAAAAAAAAAAAAACTTGCAGTAAATTTTAAATCTTTCCTTTCAGTGCTTCTGGTTTTCAAATCACATATAGGAAGAATCTCCTGAGTCAGAGGGTGTGACCACAGTCCATTCTAGTGCTTCTATGGCTTCATCTTTCACATTTGGATCTTTGATGTAGTTGGAATTTATTCTGGTCTCTAATATAAAGATCCAACTTTATTTTAAGAACAAAATATTTTTTTTAACAAATGTTAAACTTAACTCCTAAATGAAGGCAGATTATTATTTGGACCATGTGTGACTTGCATGTCTATTTTTCCTTAGGAATATTCTTCCAGAACAAATTTGCAATGCTGAAGAAGATGATGACTCAAATCTGGAACATCTTCATCTTGAAAACAATTACATCAAAATTAGAGAAATACCATCTTACACATTTTCATGCATAAGATCATATTCAAGTATTGTTCTTAAACCACAAAACATCAAGTGATTCCAAGTTTTCCTTTGCCATTTATAAACTTTACTCATATATTTGTAGTAGCTGCAGTTGTCTTATTTTGTCTTTAATAAGAGAGACATGATCCTCCTGTTATACTCAGTATCATTATATGCTAGTCAACCTGATTCGCCAATCCACAGATGAACAACCAAAATATACCTAAAAGGTGTAGTCTTCTAAGAGTTTTATTAATAGTAAAGGTAAAATCTCTCTGTTTCCCACCTCCAGAAAGAGGCCATCTCACCAGAATAGGATATTATGCATATTGAGCTAGACCAGAAGAGTCTGGGACAAAACAAACACATCCTTTATAATCAGCTTGAGTACTGGTATTAGCTGAGAACTCTGTAAGTCCCTTTAAAAATTATCTATCTTATGGTTCAAGATTAAGAAGCATAAGGGCAAGAAAAAAAAAACAGGCAGAATTTATGAATAGTTTTTTAGTATTCTGTTAAAACAATAATTTATTAATTTCCTATAAGGCCTTATGCTACTGGTATAAATATAACTAAGTATTGGGGTAGTTTTAATTTCTTCTATTAATTACTTGTGTGAAATTAAAACACTACTATAATGTTAAATTCCTGCTTTTGAAAATTGTATTATGGTTATGTACATTGTTAACATTATGGGAAGCTAGCAGAAGGGTGCACATAAATTCTATACTATTTTTGAAACTTCTATAATTCTAAAATTATTTTTTAAAGTTAAAACAATATATTAACATCACCTTCACTATTCTTCACTCAAGATTAAAAAACTTGGAAAGCAGTAGAGTTTGCTTAAAATACATTAATTATTCTTGACTATAACCTTGTAAAGGTAAATCTAATGTATAAATTTTTGAAAATTTTTGCGCCACTGGTCATAGCATCTATCTCCTTTGCCTTAATTTACTGAACTATATCATTTTATTCAGTTCAATTGAACATAAAGTCATGTCTTTACTATGTATTGGCCCTACCAAAACCATATATTAAATTTTTATAACATAATGATCTTTTATGTTTGTGTTGCTAAAGTAATTTACAAGACACATATAGAAACTACGTTGACGTCTTTTGTCACTCTCTGTTTTAAGTGCCAGGAACTTAAGTACCAGTCTTGGCCCCACTGCATAGTTTCTCTAATTTTTTAAGCTTTAGTTATTTAATCATTTAATAGTTCTCTCACTGCTCTAGGAACCTTCCATTCCCACTTCACGAGGCTGTTATAAGAACCAGAAAAGAATGTAAAGCATTTTGGAAAGTATGATGTGGATGATGAATGCAGTTATTATTACCAATATCTCATATAAAACTGAGAGGAACCAGCATAGCCAACCACAATTGATAATTTCATGGGTGACTTTCAATTTAATGAGTGTGAAAAGTTTGAATAACATTACTTCTAAGCCTTACTTTCTACACCCTTCCTTAATATGCAAAATTCAAAGATTATAACATGAACAACAATAATAATATGAAGATAACTGTTATACTCGAGGGTCAACAACTTGTAACAGGTTGTGTGTAAGGAAGAAAAATGGAATTTTATGGAACAAAAGTTGAGCTTCGTAATCAGTTTAGGAATGAAGGAGAATTACTAATTTTAAATTGGCCAAGTTGAATTTAAGAGACAGGTAAAAACAAGAAGGTAAGGTTACACATCAATTTAACAGGAATCCTTGTGCAATATTTGATGTACGAATATAAATGCATTGACATAAATGGTTTAAGGCAATGTAAGCTGTAAACAAAATTAGTATTAAAGGGGACTCAGATTGAATAAGGTGAGTCAGCAGAATTAGCATTTTGGGATGACACAGAGACAGATACTGAACCATTCCTTCATTCATTTCTTACTGACTTTCTTCAGCTGTGTTTCAAATGCTGTTCTAGAGAAAGACAATGACAAACAGATCAGATGAGGCCTCTCCTCTCTGGTAGGGGCAATAAGCAGGAAATCAAGCAGATGATTAAGTAAGCAGGCAAGTGCTGGTCAATCAGAAAAATGAGTGACAGTGCAATGAGCACACTGGGGCCTGCACACACTAGGACCTGAGGGCCGCCAGGAGACTACGGTCACTCCCAAAAACCTGGAGTAACCGCAGCCCCAGACCTGTGCCTGTGAAGCAGGCACACTGTGGGCTTGCTGTGCCTGTCTTTTCCCAACCTCTGCCTTGGTAGCAGAATCCCAAAGAAAGACGAAAATCAGAATGACCGGCTCCCCGTGGTGGCTCACACCTGTAATCCCAGCACTTTGGGAGGCCAAGGCGGACGGATCATGAGGTCAGGAGTTTGAGACCAGCCTGGCCAACATGGTGAAACCTCGTCTCTACTGAAAATACAAACAATTAGCCAGCCATGGTGGCATGCAACTGTAATCCCAGCTACTCAGGAGGCTTGAAGCAGAACTGCTTGAACCTGGGAGGTGGAGGTTGCAGTGAGCCGATTATCATGCCACTGCACTGCAGCCTGGGCAACAGAGCGAGACTTGGTCTCAAAAAAAAAAAAAAATCAGAATGACTGATTGAAGCTTTATTCTTAATTTGGAAGTTGTACTTATTTCAACTGATTTTACAATTTTTAAAATACATCTTAGTAACTTGTTCAGTCTTGAAATTTCACGATGTTCTGGATGGGAAGTTTTAATTCCATAAAAAAGTGATAAATGTCTTTATGGCAAATACTCTTCACAGTATAAGGTACTAAAAAACAGATGTTCTGTTTGGCTTCAAAAATTACACTATAATTACTAACACACACATAAACTAAAAAAGTTCTGGCCTAGCCATGATCTAAAAATATTAATGGTGTGTCTTGTCTTTGCATACACACAAACACACACACACACACACACACACACACACAGAAAAACTATAATTTTGAGATTTGGCGTATTATCAATAAGAATATTATAAGCAGCGCTAAAGAAATGATTTAGTGAAAGACATACAGAGCCTGGTATAAGGAAATATCTATACCGGGAACCAGGAGACTTGGGAGCCCATCTTGTTCACCAATAATTATGCAGTTGTTTTACTTCTTTGGGATTCATTTGATTTAATTATAAAATAATGTTTGGAACAGATCAGTGGTTTTCAGACATGGTTCATTCGGGGTTTCATGTCACTGATAAGGAAGAGAATAGGCCTCTCTCTTCAAACAAAGCAGCTTTGCTCTCATCAGAAAGGGTTGACACCCACCCCCTTTTCTTCTTACAACCAACAGACTAGGTACTATCTAAATGACACACTAGGTTTTAAAATCCATCAAGAACATGTAGCCTTCTCTTCCCTTTCCCCAGGTCCAAGAGCATCCAAGCTGAAGAGGGTTGGCCTGAGGAAGAGGCCACCTGTTTTTCCTTCTAAGCACCAGTGCAGTGGGTGAGATTAGCCCTGAGCAGACTGCTGGGCCCCTGACCGCCTTAAAATGGCTAGTTGACAAGCTTCTGTAGGAAAGGGCACAGTACTGCGTGTTCACCAACCTCCTTGCAGGGCAGGTGACAACGTTGGGGTTCAGTGAGGGCAGGTGGCACATGAGAACGACAGGGAATATGTGACTAAGTCTAGACTTTCCCTGCATTTTCTTACTCTGAGGTTGGTTCTCCTCCTGCTGAACCAAGCTGTCTCTCCCTTAGAGTTTGGATGGAAAGTCTAGGGGACCCAAGAGTGGCAGGCTGCCTAAAAAGGTCCGAACCTGGGTGGCTGATGCTCAACTGGAGGGCACAGGGTGTGTGGTATGGCAGGTGTTGCCAATGGGGGGAGGGAGACACTCAAATCACCTTGCCTTGAAATGGCATCATCAAATGGCTCCAAGTACATCTCCTTAGAAGCCATTCTTGCTAAGTCCAAGTTAATTACTCCTTAAGATGACTGCTTTTATTAAAACAGAAAAAACCACCCACAATGTTGTACAGTTGAAATATGCAGCGTCCTCTAGTTGTCTTGGACAACTCCAGGGGTCATCAAGACAAGATGATTATTCCCATTCACACATAATTATTCCAGTAACTGTTTTATAATATGTAGTGCAAATATTTAAATTGACTTGGAAATGTTAATAAATTCTGACAATGCTTGTTTTAAGATTATTTTAGACTATATGAAAATTTAAGCCACAAATTACAGGTATATTACTAAAGAATAAAACCCCAAATTTTTGGTAGCATATTTGTGTTAAAATGTTGTAGGCAAAAATGGTTTCTCTAATTTGACTAATTTAGATGGGGAGTAATGAAAGATGCCTGTGATATAATACAAAACATAATTAACATTAAACCATGCAACACATAAGCATAGTTCAGAGGAGAAAGATCAATGGGCCTTGAAACAGAAATGTCAATCAGTGAGAGAAGGAGATGGAGGGGTTCACATCTGGGCTCATCCACCAGGAGTCCAGCCTCACCATGGCAGGAAAGGAGAGCTCAGGCCAGGAATTAGACCAGATTTAAGGCAATGAGAAATGCGCATACCACTGAAAAATGCGGAAGCAGGAAGTGTTCTATGAAAGCAACAGTTTAAGGAAAAAGAAATACACACTGCAAAAATCTAGAAACAGAGTGAATGAAAGCCTTCACAGCACAGGTAGGAGAGAGACACCAAAAGAAACTCAGTGAATAGGTATCTTGCCAGATAAGGGACAGACAGAAAAGAAGTGACCAAAGAGAAAACTGCTCTGAATCTCATAACGCTGCTGAGAAGTTGAAAGAAAGGGGCCATCTGTGAGACAATGCTGAGCTTGGGGTGTCACCATGGGGGTCAGGCAAGACAACGGGAGGATGGTAAAAATGGGAAGGCATGGGGTCAGAGCTGAATTCACAGGCAAGGACATACACCTGAAGGGGCCTGACAAGAGAAGGGCAGTTGAGCCAATCCCTGATGGGCGCTGACCCTCAACTTCAAGGGAGGGATGCAGAAGCCAAGTTCACTGCAGTCTCCATCTGACTTGAGCCTTTCACCTTTCAGAGCCAGCTTCTACACACAGGATGAGCTGCACATGAAAGCCTAGCTCTTCAGGACCCCATCCCCCCACAAAGTCTCTGCCATTCAGTGCCTGTGCCTCTGCCCAGGACAGATCTGGTATATATTATGTACGTTTGTAGTGATGATCTATTTAATGTTATTAGTTAGGTCCTACATAATGATTATCTGGAATTATTAGTTAGGTATTCATTACTTCTTTGTGTATGTGGGTGTTGCACAGTAGCTGGGTTGAGGAGTATAGCTTCTTTCTCCAAAAAGACTAAAACTTAACAGAAGAGAGACAACTCATTTCTTAAACCCCTGAATTCTGTGCAAAGTAGGTGCTAAAATGGCTCTTCAATAAAGAGTTCCATCTCCTTTATCTCTCAGTCTAAACTGGATCAACTTATGAGTTACATTACCCAAAGAGGTGATATTACCCAAAGTTGACATTATTCCTAAATAAAAATGAGAGGAACCTGCAAAATTTAAGGATTTTCACAGAAAAACTTAGAAACTGAGCAGAAAAAGATTTAGACAGGGTCACAAAATTAATGGGGAATCATTTCTGTTATTAATATTTCCTGACATGGACCTCAGAAAGCTAAGTATATTTTTTAAACAATTAAGTTATGCTTTGACAACTGGTAATACTTAGTAATCAATCTGATTGCTCTGCATAATGGCAACATTGACTATGCCTTCCAAAGCCATCATTTAAACATACCATAAATTACTATGTTCCTAAGATGCTGACTTAAAAGAATGAAATACTCAAATTCTGCTGTTGAAGTGAAACTTCAAAGGGTGGAGTAAAACCCTTTATAATACAGATTCCACCTCTTTCCCTTATTTAGAAAAAGGGTAGAAAATGTCCTCATGGCAGAAATATTTACAGACTGACAGATGACTGAACTATTTATCTGTCCATGGTTGAATGTAAATCCAGATCCTTGATAGACTTAAAATTCAAAAATATTAAAAGTAGCCATGAAAAGAAGTTTCTGCCCAGCTCTAACTTAACACCAGATGACCATTATGGGCCTTAAA